TGAATCGATGGAAGGATGGATTGGACAAAGATATCGAAAGATTACGACTAAGGCCAAAGTCAAGCTGGATTGATAGGCCGGTCCCGCTCTGATAAATTCTCAAATCTCAGCTTGGCTTCTCGAGAAGTAAGATGTCTTCGTCGCGCGCTGGAAAAGGCATCCTTCGCGTCATGTTCGAGCTATGAATATGATGCTGTATGGAAACATTTGCATAGTAATAGGAGAGTGTAGCAGATCACCGCTGAAGCCTAGCATTTATTGCCAGGAGAACAGACATATTTTTGTTTTGGCATAGCCAGCTTTCGTAGACCGGTCCCGAGATGAGATAGTGTTTGGGCAAGATCATATCGGGTGAATGGTATACCAAATAATCAAGACAAGCTCAAAGATTGTTCGCATCTCAATTGTCACGGGCTCTTGCGAAAGAGGAGGCTATGACCAACTTAGCAAAGTCCCTCGCGCCAAAGGCCCGAGGCTTGGTTATGAGCCGTTTCAGGAATGTCGGCATTGCATTGACCACGGCATTGCATTTGACCAGCCTCGTGCCGTACCAGGGATGACAACATCACCAATCGAAATGTTACTTTCCACCATAGACACAGTTACAAAATCGTGATCTAATTTCTTATGCTTACACTTGTGTTGGAGGTCTGTACATAAGATGAACTGAAGCCGTCCTACCCCTCATGTACCATCAAATCGAATCATACGTCAGATCGGAGGACAGTCAAGATACGGGTTATGAAAAGAAGGCCGCGCACTATGCCACTAAACCATCAGCGGTGGTATTTTTTCAAGATTGGCTTCTCTCTTTTTGCTTGTACATCTCACGGTTCATCGCAGGCCTCTGGATGACGCCAGATACCCTCCTTCCTCTCCTGAGAACCCCCAACTGATCGCATCCAGCATTCTTAGCTCAGCACAAAGCGATCAAGAATACAAACTGGGATAAGGTACATTTAAGCGATATTTAACTTTATTTTAATTACTAGCTATATATGCATCCACAACTTGAGCTTTGTACTCTGCCATACCACACCTGATTATCAATCTAGAGGACGGGTATCTAAACCCTCGCGCCATACAGAATTATAAAGTAGTGACCCAAAATCGATTGAGTTTGGCATCAACATAATTGTAGTACTACTTAAAGACCTTTGAAACCATCCAACAAATTGGTTTTGACTGGTGATTTGGCGGTGCCGGAAAGTATGCCGGAGTGAAGATCATGTTGGCCATAATAAACTTATAGTATTACCTTGGTATTTCTCCAAATATTAGCGTGTGTGCGGATATCTCCTCTCAAGGGTTTAGAAAAATACTTGTTCATCAAACAGAAACATGCTCGTTGTAGGATCCCCCTTATTCTTCTGCAGGAAATAATTTTTGCATGAATCG